CACATTCTCCATTTCAGAATGGTGATGGTGATGTTAATACTTCTGATGAAGGCACCTGTCAAACACTTCATGTGCATTTTCTCACTTACTCCTGCAACTGTTGTTATCCCCATTCTGTAGATGAGGAAATTGAGGCCCAGGAAAGATTAAGGGAGACCCAGGGAGGACCAGGGCCACACTGAATAAATGATGGAATGAGATTTTTAAACTCAAAGTCTATGGCTTTCACTGCTATGCTAATAATATAGTGTAAGTGTAGATTCTCTCCTAGGGCAGACTTGCAGGGGGAACTTCAGCTCAGGAAAAATATAGAGGATTTACCTCTTCATGTTTCTTCTCAAAACTACTTTCAGAAACTACCCTCAGTGGGCCAGTCAGACTCCAATTGCTTAAATAAAACAGGCCAGGAGTTCTTGAATATATTTAAGGAAGTTAAGGAAAATTAAGTATTATTTTTAAAAGATATGTTTTTATTTTAACACTAATATAACCAATTCTGAAAAATTGAAGTTCCTGGAAAGATCATCTGCATCTCATACTCTTGCCAATTACTTTAAACATTTTTGTGTTTCTCTTTTTAGTATTTTTTGAATTCTAATTTTTAATTAGATTTGATCATAGTGTCTCTAAAGTGTTGTCTCCTATTTTTTTATCTAGCAAGCAAGCAGTTGATCTTTTTTATTTTTATTTTTATTGGATTATAGTAGACATGCAATGTTATGTTAGTTTCAGGTGCACAACAATGATTTGACAATTATATACATTACAAAGTACTCACCACAATAAGTGTAGTTACCATCTGTCACCATACAAAGTTATTACAATATTATTGACTATATTTCCCATACTGTACTTTTCATCCCTATGATCTTATAACTGGAAGTTTGTACCTCTTGATCCCCTTCACCTATTTTGCCTAACTCCTACATCCCTTCCCTCTGACACCCACCAGTTTGTTTTCTGTATTAATGAGTCTGTTTTTGGTTTGTTTGTTTGGTTTTTTTAGATTCTACATATAATATTCCACATATAAAGCATATGGTATTTGTCTTTTCTGTCTGATTTATTTCACTTAGCATAATACCCTCTAGGTCTATCCATATTGTTGCAAATGGCAAAATTTCATTCTTTTTTATGGCTGAGTAATATTCCATTCTATCTATCTATCTATCTATCTATCCATCCATCCATCCATCCATCTATCCATCCATCCCACATCTTATTTATGCGTTCGCTTATTGATGGACGTTTGTGTTGCCTATACCGTGGCTATTATAAATAATGCTGCAGTAAACATAGGGGTGCATATATCTTTTCAAATTAGTGTTTTGTTTTCTTTGGGTAAACACCTAGTAGTGGAATCACTGGATTGTATGGTGTTTCTGTTTTTAATTTTTTTAAAAGATTTATTTATTATTTATTTGAAAGAGAGAGCGTGCACACAGGGGGAGGGGCAGAGGGAGAGAAAAACTCAAGCAGACTCTGCACAGAGCATGAAGCCCAGTGCGGGGCTTGATTACAGGACCCTGAGATCACTACCTGAGCCAAAACCAAGAGTCAGACACATAACTAACTGCACCACCCAGGCGCCCCTCTTTTTAATTTTTTGAGGAACCTCCATACTGTTTTCCATAGTGGTTGCACCAATTAAGTTTCCCACCAACAGTGCATGAGGGTTTCCTTTTTCCTACATTCTTGCCAATACCTGTTATTTCTTGACTTTTTGATACTATTCTGGCTAGTGTGAGGTAATATCTCGTGGTGGTTTTGATTTGCATTTCCCTAATGATTAGTGACATTGAACATCTTTTCATGCATCTGTTGGCTATCTAAATCTTCTTTGGAAAAATGCCTGTCCTGGTCCTCTGACCTTTTAGAAATCAGATTATTATTATTATTCTTTTTTTAGTATTGAGTTGTAGGAGTTCTTTATAAATTTTGGACATTAACTCCTTATTGGATATATCATTTGCAAATATTTTTTCCCTTTTGGTAGGTAGCCCTTTTGTTTTGTTGATGGTTTCCTTTGTTGTGCAAAAGCTTTTTAGTTTAGTCCCAGTTGTTTATTTTTGCTTTTGTTTCTCTTGCTTGAGGAAACAGATCCAGAAAAATATTGTTAAGGCTGATGTCCAAGAGATTACTGCCTACATTTTCTTTTAAAAGTTTTATGGTCTCAGAGTGCCTGGGTGGCTCAGTCGTTAAGTGTCTGCCTTCGGCTCAGGTCATGATCCTGGAGTCCCAGGATTGAGTCCCACATCGGGCTCCCTGCTTGGCAGGGAATCTGCTTCTCACTCTGACCCTCCCCCCTCTCATGCTCTCTCTCTCAAATAAATAAATAAATCTTTAAAAAAAAAAAGTTTTATGGTCTCAGGTCTTACATTTAGGTTATTTAATCTATTTTGAGTTTATTTTTGTGTGTAGTGTAAGTTGTCCAGTTTCATTCTTTTGCATGTAGCTCTCTAGGTTTCCTAGTACCATTTACTGAAGAGACTTTTTTTCCATTGTATATTTTTGCCTCCTTTCTCATAGATTAATTGACCATATAAGCATGGGTTTATTTCTGGTCACTCTATTCTGTTCCATTGATCAATGTGTCTGTTTTTATGCCAGTACCCATACTGTTTTGATTACTGTACCTTTGTAGTATAGTTTGAGATCAGGGAGTGTGATGCCTTCAGCTTCGTTCTTCTTTCCCAAGATTGCTTTGGCTATTCAGGGTCTTTTATAGTTCTATACAAATTAGGATAATTCATTCCAGTTCTTTGACAAATATTAATAGTATTTTGGTAGGGATTGAATTGAATCTGTAGATTGCTATGAGTAGTATGGACCTTTGAATAATATTAATTCTTCCAATCCATGAGCATGGTATATCTTTCTATTTATTTGTGTAGTCTTCAGTGTCTTTCATCAGTGTCTTATAGTTTTCAGAGTTTTGGTCTTTTACCTCCTTGGTTAAACTTATTCCTAGGTATTTTTTTTTCTCTTTTGATGCAATTGTAAATGGGATTGTTTTCTTAATATTTATTTCTGCTAGTTCATTATTAATGTATAGAAATACAACAGGTTTCTGTATATTAATGTTATATTCTGCAACTTTACTGAATTCATTTATTCTAACAGATTTTTGGTGGAGCCTTTAGGGTTTTCTATATGCAGTATCATGTCATCTACTAATAATGACAGTTTTACTTCCTCTTACCAATTTGGATGCCTTTTATTTCTTTTGTGTGATTGCTGTGGCTAGGACTTCCAGTACTATGTTGAATAAAAGTGGCAAGAGTAGACATCCTTGTCTTGTTCCTGATCTTAGAGGAAAAGCTTTCAGCTTTTCACCATTGAGTATGATGTTAGCTGTGGGTTTTTCATATATGGCCTTTATTCTCTTGGGGTATGTTCCCTCTATACACACTTTGTTGAGAGTTTTTTATCATGAATGGATGTTGAATTTTGTCAAATACTTTTTCTGCATCTAAAAATAAAATTTTTGATGACAAAAACCTACTAGAACTTTCATTTCCATAAGAATCAATAATTAATTTTTGTTACTCCAGTTTTTAAAAGGGGTCTAGATAAAATGTACCAAATGCTCAGGGAGGGGGGTGGTCTAGAGGGAAAGGCAGAGGTACAAACAGTAATATTATAAGAAGAGGGGAATATACACTGTACAGTGGAAGCTTGGAGGAAAGGAAGTGATGGTTGCACCTTGGGGAAATAGTTCACCAACAAGGTGAAATTTGAACTAAATATTTTAGGATGGATATGACTTGGCAGAGGTTGGGGGAAAGGATTCCTATAAAAGGTAAAGCGTGTACAAAGTCAGAGAGGTGGCAAAGACTTTGATGTGTTTGGGTGTGGGCAGTTGGAATTCAGAAGACTGGAGGGGTTGATAGCAAGGAGGCTGGGCAGGCGGGCAGCAGCTAGAAGGTATAGGCCTAGACTGCTATGTGGAAGGGGTTAGAATAGACCCATTAAAAACCACTGGGTAATTTTGAGCAGCAGAGATCTTGTATCTCATTTGCATTGCAAACAGTTTCCTCTGATGCCAGTGTGCAGGGTAGAATCCGTCTGCAAATGACAAGAGTCCTGAAGGGGATGTGTTAGGATGATATGGGTGGTATAAAGAGTTAATCTGAAACAGGTGCTATGTTATATGGTAAATTTACATCTTTAGTGTACAAATTACAAGAATGTCTGATGTACCAGCAACTTTTAGAGGTATGTGGCATTTCTCCTGGGCAACATCAAGGGAAATGTCTAGTGCCTGGCCAAGGAGTGGGGGCAGCAAATGTCGCTCTAATTCCCAGTGTTCATAAAGTGTGTGACTCCCTCACCCTGACTCCACCCCATCTGGGACCATGTCCTCTGAGACACTGTAAGATTCTAGTACGAGTGTGAATCAAAGGGGAACTTATCACAGATACAGAGTTCTGGGCACCATTCCTGGGATTCTGATCTGAGCTGGGGCCCAGCAATCTACATTTTAGCTGGTACTGGAGTTGAATCTGTTAGATGCATGTTCTTACACCTAAGTGTTATAATTTCTGGGACCGCTTGTTTGCAGTGTAGTGGTATTAAGCATTATTTAGGCATAAGCTGGTGGGTTTCAGATGAGGTCTTTGGTTAGTAGCCTGGCCAATGTGAGCCTTATTACGGTTTATTTTCACTGTTTTGCATCTGTGGCTTGTTCTTACGTTATAACTAGACGAACTGGATCATTTCAGCACTACCTCTCCTCTCTGGTCTTTTTTGCAACAATATACCAGAGCTCATGATAAAATCTATGGGAGTAAAGTAATATCTTCATGTGAGGTAAATCCTTTTTTTTTTTTTCCTTCAAAAGTGACTGTTTATGGTCTTAAAGAGTTTATGTGCTGAGTTCATTCACTTGAACAAGTACAGCCAAGATCAAATATAGGGTTGAAATGTTTGTTTGTTAACCATACAGTGAAATTTAAATAAAACATTGCTTTTCTCTTTTTAAAATTTACTCTGCTTAGAATTATTTTGGTGGAAAACTTTCTGCTCAAGGGAAAATGCCTTGGATTGAATATAATCATGAAAAAGTTTCTGGCACAGAGTTCATAATTGACTTTCTGGAAGAGAAACTTGGAGTGAATTTAAACAAAAACCTTGGCCCTCACGAAAGAGCCATCTCCAGAGCAGTGACCAAGATGGTGGAGGAGCACTTCTACTGGTGAGTCCCCTGGGTGTGCTGGGTGAGTGCCCAGGGCCTGTCCCTGGCCTTTGGACTAAGCCCAAGTTCTGTTTCACTTTTCAGACACTCCCCAACCTCTTCAAAGTTTTCTGCATTCTGACTGATTTAGGGGTCAAAGTTATGACCATTAAGTTTCTAGGTATCTAGACCAAGAGTAGACCTTTTTTATAGAGGCCCAGCTAGCACATATTTTAGGCTTTGTTTTAGGCCGTGGCTCTGCTTTCGCTCCTTAAGCTCTGCCGTTGTCATGCAAAAGCAGCATGGATGAATGACACGGAAATGATGAGCAGGACTCTTTCAACGAAACAATAAAAACACTGACATTTGAATTTCATTTAATACAAAATGTATTCTTCTGACTTTTTCCCCCAACCATTAAAAATGTATTTAAAAAAATTTTTTTAACTTTTTAATTTTTATTATTTATTATTTATTTTAGAGAAAGAGAGAGAGAGAGCAAGTGGGTCGGGGGAGGGGCAGAGGGAGAGAGAGAGAATCTCAAGCAGGCTCCACTCGGAGCTCGATCTCATGACCCTGAGATCATGACCTGAGCTGAAAACAAGAGTTGGACACTTAACTGAGCCACCCAGGCCCCCCTCCAACCATTTAAAAATATAGAAACTTCTTAGTCTTTGGGCTGTGTTTTGTTGACCCCTGATCTAGACTGCAGCTCACTGAGGTGAGGAAGATATTTCAACTGACTCTGCCCTTTACCTGCACAAATTGCGGAAGTAAAATACTATTACATCAGACACCTAGAGGAGGGAACAGAAGACTAAGTCAGGATAGAAGTCTTAGGTGAAATGAATTATTCAAGCTTTGTAAAATTATCGTCAGTTTTCCTTAGACGACAAGAGCTTCTCCGTGTTCCAGAAGTCAAGTGTACTAGTGCTTTCTGAGTATCTTTGTCCCGCCTGGCTGACTCCTAGGTTATGTCCCTTGTCTGAACCATCATGCGCTGTGTGGAGGAGTTGCCTGTGTTCTGCGTGTGGTATGGTGTTGGCTAGGACCTGTGAGTTAAACAGCTACAGGTCTTCTTGGTTTACAAACTCATTGTCATGTGGGCTTTTTCTTTGCCTTTCATCCATTTTCTGGAGTTTTAGCACCTTTTTGGACACCCCAGTAGGTAAGAGAAATTTTCTTCCTGATTTCTCTAAACTTTTCTTATTCCAGAGATTTAATTAAGAATTGTTAAGCCCACTTTTTGGACATTCATTGTGACTCCTGGGTCATTGCTCACCCAGTAGCTTTCACCTCCCCCACTGAGAGATACCCACTCAGTGAAGGGTTGATTGTAGAAGGTTCTTCCCCATCACCTTCCGATCTCATCAATCGGCTTTCTTTCTAAATGGAAACTTGCTTGTTCTTTCTAAACAGAAAACTTGCTGTTCCCTCTCTTGGATTTTAAGTGACTCTCTATTTCTCTTTCTGCTTGCAGTTCTTGCCCAGTTTATTCCAGGGCAGACCTGAAGTGCCGCTTGTCTTCCCCCTCTCACTGTAGAGGTGAGGGGGTGGGGGGTGGAAGCAAGGAGGGAACCCGGCAGAGAGTGGAGGCAGGGGTGCAGATTAGCCTGGAAATCATCACAGACTCCGTGTTCCTGGAATGAACCGGGTCTTTTCTTGAGGATACCTGTGGAGAACTGCTGGGACTCCCATCTTCTAGAGTGCAGGGGTTAGAGTGTGGGCCAGACGGATGACTGCATGTGATGTCCTGAGCCTCAGGGAAAAGTCCATGGGACAGAGCCCATCTTCCCTCTTGCCAGGTTCCAGTCCCCACTTTGCAGCAATTGAGGGAAATGAAGAACCAGCACAGGGCCACCCGGACCCTCTCTCTGTGCCTTCTTTGGATGCAGTCCTCCAAAGTGCTACCTTGTTTGACTGATGGGCCCATTAATGCGGAGAGCTCTTGCTTTGTGAGCTAACTGAAAAGACGCTGAAAGTCACCTTTCATTTTCGTTAGTACTTGTGCTACAACTCTTTGATTTTTATAGTGGTTCATGAAATGTATATTCTAGTCAGAAAGACTTTGATCCAGCAAGACTCCCAAGAACCACCTGTCCCTGCTTTTGGCTCTGGGTGTGCAGACGTTCTAGTTCTATATATTTACTCCCTGGTAGAAGTTCATCTTCTGCTCTTTCCCTCCCCTTCTCTCCCTGCACCAGCCCCAGCTAATACTTGATGGGAGGCAGCTCTTGGTGGGGGAGGGAAGGGTGGGAGGGGTGAGTGGGAGAGTTGGGAGGTGGTACCCTGCTAGGGAAGAATCTTAATTTTATGGACCATAAAAACCCAAGTGCTTGGGGGAGTTGCTTAGGTCACACAGCAACTCTTTTAAGGATAATTTTGTTTCTCTAATCAACTTTTTGATTACAAAATACATTTTCAGAGGGGGGCAGTTAGCTACTATTTCTCATGTGTTTCTCCTCAAAGGTTAATTTGAGAAAGAAATAGTGAAGGTGGGAGGTCAGATCTTGACAGAGATATAAATGGCCAGTGAACTTTCAAAAAAATTCCTAATTCCTTCAGTTCCCTTTGGTTCCTAGCAGCAAAAGGAAAGCAAGCCTTCCTCTGTTTCATAAGGTTTCCTAACCTTTAGCTATGTTCTTGCTTTGGAGAGACCTTGAACAGGCTTTCCCTAGAGCTCTAAATCCCAAAGGAGAAAAGACGCCTGTCCCTCCAGTAAGAAAATGTCTGAGAAGGAGAGTATGTGGACACTCTTCATCAGGTTCCTCTCCTGCTCCCCCCTTTCTTATCCCAGAGGCCACACACAAAATGTGCACCCATGGAAACTGGGGCCAGCATGAGAAATGGACCACCATTTGTAGAAAAATGTAAGGATGAGCTTTTCATGAGAGCTTGTTAAATTCTGACAATGCATGATCTCCAAGGTTGTATCTGTGTTTATAGCGGTGCAGGAGATGAAATCAATTGTTTGACTCCATTGATTCGAATTATCTGGAGTTTTCAGATATGTTTATTTTGGTCTGAAACTGTAAAAACTCTCCGGGTATGATTTTCTGAAAAGCAAAGACAATGGAAAACTGGCATTTTTACATAAATACCATCCCATCATCCCAAGGCTCTAATTCTGGTTTGTTCAAATAAGCACACTCTGGTTTGTTCAAATAAGCACACGCTAGAAAGAGGTTTTTCTTGAACTTGAAATCCATACCAGCCTGTTCCACTTGCATGACTATTATTGAACATGAGGAAGACAGGTTTTTATCCTCTTTGTTCCACTGAGTGCTTAAGTTAGATCCAATGCAGGCAAGTTGGTATGAAGGGCAGTACGAGAGACATGGGGTCAAATTAGTGGAATGAAATCGAGCTTTGGGAACAGACACTACGGCTTCTTCTGTATGACACGTTAGTGTGGTAAGAGTCTTGTAGGGAGGCGTGAGGGCACTGTGGCAAGCCATCTAGTCATACCACTTTGATCCATTAAAATATAGGCGTTAGAACAGGGAATTCAAATTTGCTTCTAGGTTGGCCATGATTTTTAAATTCTGAATTTGGCTTTTGGTATAGTTTCACTGAATGGGGGAGGTAGGATCCTTTGACTTACCCAAGATCCTATCTGAAAACCAGGAGTCTCTCTCTCCTTAATGACTTAAAATGACTTACCCAAGATCTTATCTAAAAACCAGGAGTCTCTCTCTCCCTGATTACAATTGGATTAATGTGTTTTGCTCTTCCCTGCTCCCCCTGCCCCTAATTTCAGATGTAGTGAGAGCTCCTGTTGGGAGGGGGTGGTCTAGGGCCTGTGCAACTCGGTGAAATCACAGAAGCTTATCATACGCTCCTGCACCCCATGCGTTTAAAAGACAAGCAAACAATGACAGGGATGGAGCAGGACATGGAGAAAGGCGTCCGTGGTCAGGAAGGCCACATGCTAAGGCTCACTCATCAAACAGTAGATTGCCATGGTTTGCACTTTCCCACATGTTAATATCATCTCTGATATGGGCCAGGGCTCCTGTTAGGTTATAAGGAGAGATATCTTCATTGAAACATCAGGGGTCGGCTCTTCTTTCCTGTCTTCTTGACCTCCTTTAAAAATATTGAACAGTATTTATTCTTCTGTTCTGACTAAGGTAATCAATCTTTAAGAGAAACGTTGACCCCATTTTGCAGAAGAGATCAGGTGCATCAGTTGTTTAAAGGAAATGAGTATCAACTTTCTGGAAGAGGTTCTCAGAATGATGACTTAATTGTTCAGCCTCGTCTAGTTTCCAGTTTGGCCCTCCTTGCCCTCACCAGCTCATGATTCATGACTCCTTGTGCAGTGGGCCTCTTCCGAGTAGAGAGTGACATGGATCTCAGAAGGGAACAGTCAGCCCCTTCTTCATTCTTCAAAGGCATTTCTCTTTTTCCTTCATTCTATTTAAATATTGTCAACCCTTAGAAACACTACTTAGCAGTAGCTGGCTCAGAAGTGAAGCTTTTTTACATGTCAATCAATAATTCATTCTTTCAGTAAACTTAATGAATGACTGACGCCTAGTGGCCAGACTCCATGCTGGATGGGGGGAAGTGAGGCAGTAAGACGGTGTCTCCATCCTCTGGTGACTCCCAGGCCGAGGGAGACGTCGAGCCATCGTGACGGTGGGTGCTGGGGGAGAGTTTGAAGAACTGAGGAAAGGCAGCCAGCACCTGCTGGAGTGATGAGGGAAAGGCTTTCCCAGAGGAGATGGTATCACAAATGAAGCGAGGGACCGTCAGTGGTGGGTGAAGGGGCTGGACGCCAGGGGAAAGATTAGGATATCTAGGCAGAGGGAGCAGCATCTGCAAAAGTTCAGAGGTAAGACCGAGGAGCCTGGGAAGGCACTTGTAATTCTGTGTGGCAGGTGCACAGGAGGCAGTGGGGCGGGGGGGCGGCGATGGGGCCAGAGAATGGCCAGCTGAGTGTGAGTCAGACTGTAGGGAGCGGGGGCAGTGTGTCGAGCTCAGGAGCTAGGGGGCTTCATGAATGGCTCCAAGAAGCAGCCTGATAGGACTAGGTTTGTGTTTTAGGAGCTCTTTGTGACTGCCTTGGGACAAATGGATTTCTGAAGGGCCTTAGGGGATGTCAGGAGACCTGTTAGGAGGCCACTGTGCTCAGGGCCAAGAAATGATGAAGGGCTGAGCTACATGCTAATTGAGTTGGAGAAAAGGGCAAATTCACAGGGTGACTGGCTATCAGGAGCGAGGGATAGAGAGCAGTGAAGAACGAGTCCTGGGATTCTTTCTGGCTTGGGTGAGGAGAAGCAGATTTGAAGGGAAGGAAAATCATGAGTCCAAGTTTGGAAATATGGGTTTGCAGTTCCTGAGGACCCCTCACATGGATCCCTGGGTGTCAGGACAAAGGTCTGGGCTGGGTGTAGGTTTGAGAATCATCAGTGTGAAATATCGGGTGTGAATTAGATCATGCCACAAGTGTGGAGTAAGAAATAGGAAGAATAGTGATGAAGATCTTGGGAACATGCACGAGATGGTGGGAAAAGCAGTAGAGATGTAAGCTAACGGAGAGCTATTCTACGAAAGACACGGACAGTGTCACATGTTGCAGACAGTTAAAGAAAGAGAAGTATACAAAGAATGTTTAGGGGCACCTGGGCGGTTCAGTCAATTAAGCATATGACTCTTGATCTCAGCTCAGGTCTTGATCTCAGGGTCATGAGTTCAAGCCCCGTGTTGGGCTCCTTGAAAAGAAAAAAAAAAAAAGAAGGAATGTTTATTTGGATTTTGCAACAAGGAGGTATCGTTGATTTGGGTAAGAGTAGTTTCGGTCAAGTGTTCATAGTTTGCCGGAAGCTTGGTTATGGAAGGAAGTGGATTCTTGGTTTTAAGGATTTGGAAGCATGTGTAAATGAGGTTTGCTGCCTATAGTGATTAATTTAGGATTCCATGAATTACCCATTTTCTTTGGTGTTTAAAATTTGTACCCACTTCATAGGGATTGACCCTTACAGAGCCTGGCTGGCCCTCATTTGCTTCTCTTCACTGACACTGGGCTGCAATATTAGGCACAGGGAGTGAAAGAGGAAAGAAATCAAGAGCAGGGTGGGAAAGAGAAGAGAGGAAGACCAGATAGTTTCTCAGGTTACCTCTAGCTGCAAAATTCCAGATCAACCCAGTGTTCCTCCTTCTGTGCCCTCTATTCCACCCACTAATGGAGGTAGAGAACCTTACGCCATTGCGTTAGTCGGGGTTCCTCCAGCTTAGCTGTGTGACCCGGGACAGGTGCCTCTTCCATCCCCATCTGCTACTTGAACCCATTAGTTGTGCAAAGCTCTCTGTCCATCACTGCATCCTCATCCTGTGCACATGCCCCCATTTCCTGCTCTATGGAGGAAACTGAAGTCACTTGGCAGGAACTCTGAACCTCTCTGCAGCCCCTTACCCCTTGCGACACTCTCCTCCTCTCTATCTCAGAGAAAGAGGTGTCTCTGCTTCTCTCCAAGCTGACCCTTCCAGCCTGGCCTTCTCACATTCTAACTTGCCCTTGACCTGTGGATTCCCTAACA